GTCGTTCGGGTTCGATGCCTCGGCGCCTAAGTTGTTTCTCGAGCTTGGTAAGCACACTGGCACACTTCGACTGCAGCAGGAACAGGAACAAGAACACTCTGGCGATCTCAAGAAGGCCCTTCGCAGAACATCTCTTGCTTTTCTTGCGCGACATCGAGCAGTAAGCGTTCTGCAGCCGCCGAAGCAGCCGCCATGGTCAGTGAGGCGCAGGGGGTGGACTTTCCGAGCTCCTCGATCAGCGCGCATGGACTGCTGGACGAGCGGATATCAACCCGGAATTTAGGGTTTTTTTCCTGGAATTTAGCGTTTAGGGTTTAGGGGAAACTCACAATCATTCTACCCTCACGAATTTAAAAAATGCCACAGAAACTTCTTGCCGGTCCTGGACCAGAGACTCGATGAAGACCGCGGCCTGCGAGGCTGTTTGGAACTCCGCGGCCTGGAAACAGGGAAAGCATCTTCGGAATAGGGCTGAAAACAGGATGCAGGCTTCTTATACCATCTTGGTGAAGCATCTGATGTCGCATCCCAAGAAAACGTGGCTTCCTGTCGAATTACACGAGCTGAACTCTGCGTGAGAGTCCTGTGTTCGGAAGGCTGGCTTCCACCCTGGCTTTGGCAGTGTGATTCGGCGCTGCCCTATGCTAGCAGTCCTCTGCTTGACGTTGTAGATAGGGATTCTGAAACTGGAAAGGGCCAGGCTGCGTGCACGGGGTCTGTTGTCGCATGCATGGGCTCTTGCAGAAGGAAGCACGACGGAGTTCATAAGCAAAATGCAACTGTACCGACCCATCCTTCTCAGCCAGCTGGAAACATAGCACGGATCCGGGACTTGATGTCACTGAGAACGTGGGTGGCTGTCGCTGGCACCTCGGATGCTTTGGCATCGTGGAATGACGGCACGTCGCTGCTCCATTCCGCTGCTTCATTTTCGCAACCCCGTGTTCCGTGGCTCCGTTTGCTTCCTGCCTGGAAAACATGCATCGCCATATTCGACTTTCCACTTTGCACGAGAATTTCAGGAGTCTTTTCCTGGGTCGAAGCAGATCTTTCTGAGATCTGCAAGCCAGCCAATCTGTCTTGACCTGGAAGCAGCGACTCTTCTCTCCCCATTAGCACGACCCTACTGCAAAGAGTCCCGTCTCTCACACGTACTCAGCTTGCCGCAAGTGATGCTTCACCTCTGAAAACCCTTTAGTTTGCCCTGGAATGCTGGGTGCTTGGGAAGCTGGTTCTAGGAAAGTCGCCTTTGTGCAGGTGGAAGCCAACAAGAACATACTCGTGTCGGTGACAAATCCGGGTGAAAGCCATTTGAGTCCGCTTAAGGTGCCGTGCAGTACCTCACGCTGCTATTGACCTCTCTCGCGCACGCTGGTGATGCACCGCCAAGCCAGCTACAAAGCCAGATGGGCAGCATCACATCCTTCTCATCTTGGAGGAGTATATGGAGCAAGTTTCCTGCTGAAAATGGCGGTTCAACTCAAGGTGTCTTGCTGCTCGCATGTGCGTTAAAAGCAGACCTCTTGCAAGCACAGGTCTTGGTTGCGACAGGTTTCCTCCACCTCCGGAAACAAGTATCAGGCCCCAATACAGGCAGTGTAGTCTTAACATTAACATACTAGCAATGCTACGAGACGTACGACGAAGTAAAATAACCTTCATCAAGTCTTCATCCGGCATCTGCTCGCATGGCCGCGGACCGCCAGTCTTGTGGCTAGGGTCGGCACAGCGCTAACAGGGACAGCAGCGCCCAGCGACACAGGGCGGCCTACTGAGATGCTCGAAAAAGCTACTCAGGGCTTCTGTTGTGTTGCTCGTGCCCGTGACTGTCCTTGAGAAAGACTTGCAGATGGCGCATTGTAACAGCAGAAACAAAATTTCCGAAGGCGGCCTCACTGGCCATGGGGAGCAAAGCTGCAACTGCTCCGGCGGATACTTCGGCAGCCATCTGACAAGGGGATGTACTCAAAAATACGGCTTTGTACTCACTCCCGAAGTGGTTTGTGAAATAGTGTAGCATCGAAGCTACCAGATACCATTGTGGGCTGTGCTGATCACTCCCACCAGCCAAGGCAACGCTTCTTGCCGTCACTAGAATCTAGAAAAACCGTGGGTGGAGCCCTAAGTCAGGGGCGCTGACATATTGTCATCAATGCCAACTGCATATCAAACTCCAGATTAGGCTTCAGCCGCTCCAGCCATGTCTGCACAGGAGCAAAAGTAACACGGCAAGTCTGCTCTGTCAACCGACATTGACATGACATCTTGCCCATCGCTCCTCAATTCGACGCTGCTTTCCCCGCGCAAGGTGGTGCATGTGGCTGAGCAAAGCCATTCGCCCACAGGCCTGACATGAAAGAGGCGGACTCCAACGATTCCAGCACTAGTCCATGCGAGTAGTCTGGCCCAAAAATCCCCCGTGACGGCCCGTGACTATTTTTAGAACAGACCCTGCTTCTGTCGGGTGCCCATGACCTCCACGTCACCGGACTCTTCCGCGGCCAGTGTCGCAGCAAGAAGATGAGCACAGAACGCATGGGTGCTGGGGCAGCTGCAACCTTGCAGCACACTCTGGCTTCTTTGCCGATGGAGCCGTTTCTATACCTCTGTCAGCCCAGCCGCGGCATCGTGCCAGGTCCACAGAGCGAGGCTCGTCGCAGCTCTTTGATTTCACGGTCGCCTCGCCAGGCCAGGGCCCCAGCAGAGAGACGGTCTTCGCCAGTCTGCGGCCCTTGTCCCAAGCCTGTGACAAATGGCAGCAACATGCGAGCGCGGCGCACTCTACATTGCATACAATCCGACACACTGCACACTGACTCCATCAAAAAAGAGTCTACTTGTCTAGTCTCCTACAGATATGCCGGCGAACGGACAATTGCAGGTTCAAAGCAGCATGCTGCAAAATTGCAAGCTATGCCGAAGCCTGTGCCTGCATCATGCCGCGGTCTTCTTGCAAAGTCTTTGGCAGCAGCTTCTCCAACCGAGGGCACTGCCAGATCGTTGGCTTCGGCTGGACATGCCTGCAACTTCGAGAAAGTTACAACGTGCCGAATTCCAGCGGTGAGGTACATTTACACAGTGACAGGTATTGCCGGGTGAGCTGCGGGCATTCAACCTTTTTGAGGTCAAGAGGACCTGCTGCCATGCTCTCCGCCTCGGACCTCAGTCAGAGGACACAGTTCTTTCATCTTGCACTTCCCTGTGAGTGTGCCGGGTTACGCGGGGAGTCTGTCTCACAGCGAAAGAACTACCAGTAAGATCTAGAATCTAGTAAGGTGCGGGTGCCACAGTATGATGACCTCACTGGTTTGTTCTTCGAGGCCTGGCCGCCCCGCAAATCATGATCGACTCATCATGATGTGGAAACACGCTATGCCGGGCATGCTCCACATCAGCACATGCTATGCCAGCTTCTGCACGAACGACCCCTCGTTGCAACGAGCACATCCTCATGACCTTGCAGGTCAGCATCGCCATGGCAAACAGATGAAGTCATCAAGGACGAACATGTATGATGGCGAATGTGCCACCAGAACATCGGGCTGAGCGCCAGACTCGGATTCAGTGTTGGCAACGCAACAAGGCGGCTCTTCGGCAGAGCCGTTTGGCGGCCGCTCGTGGCGCGGCTCCGGGACTTCGCCGCTCCTCGGGATGGCGATTGCTCGGATGACTGGCAATCATATCATTATGACAGTGGACGTGTGTCGACACCTGCAAAGGGCCCGGCTAAAGGCTTGGAGCAGGATTTTAGATGATTGTAGCCAGCAAGCCAGTACACTTTCGCACATACTTTCCAAAGGGCTTGGCCAATACATGCAAAATATACAAGCAACATGAGGGCGACCGTGGAATAACACCATGCTGTGATTATTGTGCTTACCGGTGTGACAGGGGTTACTAGTAGCAGAAGGAATACGCGTTGCTCACCGATTCAAAAGCCCCACCCACTCTCAACCGGTCCTGAGATGGGGAAAGCTTCGGGATGGCTGCGGCGTGCAGCAAAGCCGAGCCTCCGAACTGAGCACAAGTCGTGTTTTTTGATTCGCCCAGAATTAGAATTACCCACATGTGCTAAGGCATCTGACAGTGCATGCTGGCCCCATAAGCTTTAGTTGGGCGTCTATCAGGATAAAACAAACAGTTCGTTTGCCCACCTGCTGATGCACATGGGGATAAATTATAATGGCTTAGATACTGCACGCCGCCTGCTAATGTTATTGCTCCGGACTGTCCAAGCCAGGCTTCTCAGGCTCCATGGAGAAAGACTCAGTACGCACCTTTGGGACTGCACCGTTACAAAGATTGGTGATAAACTTCGCAACAAGCAGTCCAATAACATCCCAATCATCCCAAATCATATCATGCCAGCAGCTCAACCGCCTCAACATCAAGACAGGTTAGAGGGGTTCAGCCCAAGTGCACCATGCCAGTCCTACTGAAAACCAGGCCACCATTGTCAACCACAGCCGACATTGCCGTTAAATAGTGATGTTCAGCATTGGGAAGCAGGGGGTTCATCGTGAAAACGATGCTAAGACTCTTGCGAGCATAGCCTTGCGAGTATAGCCTGCCAGTGACGTGCAGTAACTATCTATGAATGAATGTTGCAAGGCCTCCGCCCGAGAAACCTTGGCCGCAGAGGCAAGGACGGACGACACCGACCGCCGTTTCATGGCCCCAACGAGCTCCCGATGCTTTTCCTTACCGGGGGCTGGCCATCCTCGGTGCCCAACTATGCTCTTTGTCTTCGGGCATTGTGGGGCCGAGGGCTGAAGGTATCTTCGTAGGGGCAGCGGGTGGGAGGCCCAAATCCTCGTGCAATCATGTCTTGGTAGTCCTTACATGCTTTTGGACTTTCCATGGTGTCGCAGTATAGGCGGTCTGCAGGCCACATGACTTAAGGACTTCATGGTCTAGGGGGTTTGCGTGGTTTAGCGGCTCAGGACCTGGTCCAGCAACGGACACGGCTGCGCAGGTCTAGGGCTTACAAGATGTAGTGCATTGCGTGGTTGGGTCTTTCAAACTCGGACTAATTACCCTCAGGTTCATGTCTAAAGGCAGCTATTGGGCGGAAGATGACGCTTCATGGCGCTGCAAGGGCTATTGTTTTGGATGGGTCTAGCGCTTTTGTGCTTGGAGGGCTGAGGAGCTTACGGCATACAGAGTTGGTGCGTGGCTGTTGAGGATTTCTTTCAGGTACTTCGGCTGTACAGCCTCGCTTTCAAGTTAAACAGCACTCAGGGTTTAGAGGCAATGGCGCTGAAAACCCAAAAGTCTAAACTAAGCTCAAAGACTTCAGGCATTCGTGGGCGTCCATGTCTCTGTGGGATGTTGAGCGGTGGGCTTAAAGGCTGACTTCTGAAATTGATTGCAGGCTGTCCCTTGGAAATCGACTTGTCGGGGTACCATAGAAACTTCATACATCCTATGCGGGCAATGAGATTGAGATCTATTCCCAGGATGCTGGCAGCATGGTCCCAAAGTCTCACCCGGCTTGGCGAAACATCAGGGCTGTTGACACCCTAAACCCTAAACCCTGAACCCTTTTTATAAACCCTGAAACACTCTCCGGTCAACCAGGCAGAGCGCTTGAGATGCTATACACAAGGAAACCCAAGAGCCTCTGCAGAAGATGGTCTTTTTTGCTTGCGGGCGGGATCGTGAGGAATCCTACTGCGTCCAACTCTCTTACTGTAGTACTGCCTGCAGACCACAGGTGAGGAGTCAGCGCAAACATCATTATCTGACCCAGCCGATAAGCAAAAAACTGCCATGTTGATGACTATATAATGAACACAGTGAACACAGAACAACTAAACCAACGCTTCGGTGACAGAACTGTCTGAGACCTGGCTGGGTGACACATGTTGCGTCATCGCTTGAACTTGGACTTCTTCGTGCCGGAGCGTGTAGCCTTCGTTGGGTCAATGGCATCTGCGTCCACTGCATTCCGTTGCAAGCGCCCCACAACTCGAAATAGCTCAGAACCTGAGTAGCGGTGCAGACTTTGGCTCTGCGGGACAGCCTACAGATCACCAGCGAATACCCAGAATCATCGTAAACCTGGTAAGCACCTAAACCCTCAAAAAGGCCTCAATGCCATCGCCCACCCAGCCGAGTCCATCCGACCGCCGTGTGTCTGCGGCCGCCCCGCCTGGAGGCCGCTTTGCCGCAGCTCCTCTGGCGACTTCTCAAGCCGCACCAGCCTGAAGGCACTGGACATGCCCAAAATACACTCGTTATTTTGATCGATTTGTGACGAGATGCCTATGCCTAAACATCCATCTACCGATCTATCTATCTTGTCTATCCTGTCTATTTTTCCCCATCTATCGCTCGATCTATCTGCCTATGTACATACATACATGACATGCAGACCGACACACAGACACACAGACGGATAGCCAGCCAGCCAGGCAGACCGACCGACCGACCCGACAGACCGACAGACAGACAGACAGGCAGAAAGACAGACACACCAGTCAGAATTATTGGCATGCGTGCTGATCTGTTTAAACCGGAATGGTAGGTCTCTCCAGGTACTGCATCCTGAACCGCAAGACAAAGCTTTTCACACACCTCTCGGCCATGTCTTCCACCATCTGCGCTTGCTTCGCTTCACCGGAGATGCTGTATTGCCGTATTGCTTACTTGTCGGTGCACACCACCAAAGGTAGCTGCGACTGCAGACATCTTAGTGAGTCCCTGGCCGTTGAACCTGGCTGCTGGGCATTTGTTTCTGCGGCAGATGGACATTTGACATTTGTGTTGCGTGAGGTACCGGTAACTTGCTAGTCTGCGCGGTCCCAAATTGTTCGATCAGCACAGGAATTTCTCACATCACCTTCTCGCCTGGCATTTAGAGTCTCCTTTCTTGTCCCGATGGTTTAAAAGTCCGCAATTCTGCTACAGCCCAGCTCTTCCGTTGGGGTAGGCGGGTAGGCATTGGACCTTGAAAAAACGAAATCTCGATGCAGTCCAAGACAAATCATATACGCGCCGAGAAGAAATAACGAGAAAGCATTCGAAGAGCTGGGGGGGCTGAGGATCCGGCAGATAGAAGACCACGGAGAGGAGCACTGCGTGAATGATCGCAGGACAGTCTGTGATAAGAACACATAGAACCCACCTCCAACTGCCAGAAATGCCAAAACAAAATAACCCAGCTGTCACCATTTCCTCTTGTGCCCGCAGCACATAGGCAACCGCAGCTGCACCGCAGTGCACAAATCTAGGCCAGTTCTTGGAGGAATCGGTTGGTACCTTGCCTCCATTGCCAAAATAAAACGCAGGGCTGTCAAGCTGGATGCAGTAGACGTAGGCTTCGAAGGCTTCGATGTAGGTATCGCGGACAGCGCTTTCAAACATGAGGGTCCAAGAGATGCGGCGCTGCCAGTAAGGGACCTCAGACTGGAGCCACAAAGAACTCAGTTTTTCATTACACCCTCGTGGTCACACTTTGGTTTTCATCCCTTGAAGGCCTGCTTCCCACTGAAGTCTTGGAGTACGTCCATGCAGAGTGCACAATCAATTCCGGAAGCCGGTGGAGCAGCTGGAGTAAGTACCATTTCAACCCGAAGGCAGCCCAACAGTATGTCAGGGTTGCAGTGACGGTGGGATTTCTGAAAATCTCGACATACTTGGTCTCGCTGGGTGCTTGCAAGCGGGGCAAACAATGCCTTCAATCGCAGTTGCCGCATGTGCGTGGGCTGCAAGTCGCGCGAGAGCACAAACTTTGGGTTCGTCCGAGGGCTCGATGCGATTGGAAGGGTCGTGCGAAATCCGCCGTCCTTTCCGCACGGCACGGGCGCCAGGGGCCAGGCGAGGTGTTGCATTTCCAGCTGTCTTCCGTGCCGTGGTCTGCCCTGAGCTCCTGCAGAGTTTCACCCCTCTTTTGACCGACAAGCTCAGCACGAGTAAGCCACAGAAAGGAGTTCCGAACTACGCTACCGCGGGGCTCATGCTCGGTCCTTCAGGATGGCCTGGTTGGGCAACGGATGGTAGTGGACGCTGTCCTCGTCGGGCTCCACGGTCAGGATTTCCAGCAGATAGCCCGCCGCATCTGGGGTGTTGTCCAGAAACGGTATCCAATGCTCGGCATTCCGGCTTTCCTCCGTCTGCAGCTCATCGTGCGCCACTTGGTCG